GGGGGAGGGGCAGAGAGCCAGAGGGAGAGAATCCCAAGCAGGCTCCGCGCTGCAGCACGGAGCCGGATGCCGAGTTCTGATTTTAGAGTAGACCCACAGTGAGCAACTTAACGGACGTATGTGCTATACAATGCATGTAACAGAAGGTCACTCTTAAGGGCTGTGCAGAAAAATAAAGCGGAATATGAGGCCAAGAGGGACAGGGTCGGGGAGCAGCCAGTGGTAAGGGGGATCTCTCCGAAAAAGAGATTTTGAAGTGGGTCTCGAGTTGGAATGTCAGAGGCGATTTCCCTGGATAAGCCGTTCTGGGGGAGGCCCTTGGGCGCCTGGGGTGGCGGGGGACTGCTTAGCTGAGTCTGGCTGAGGCAGAAGGAGTGACCCAAGAGAGCAAGTAGCATGTTCCTCAGCCCCTAAGAGCAGAAGAAAGAAACCCAATATTTATTATTCCCGGCCGCGGTCTGGCATTCTGTCAGCACTGTTCTCATTTAACGCTGACAGCTCCCTATGAGATGTGAAGTATTATCTCCACCTCCCACAGAATAGAGGAGGTACAGCCATAACCAGCAGCTGGCCAGTGGTGCCCTTCCATTCCTTCCATGCTCCCTTCCCTTCCAAAGGACCCTGACCCCGAATGGCTTTCCAAAATGCCCTTGGGGACCTCGAGATGACCAGCACCAGAGGAGTTACTGCGACAGGAAAACAAAACAAACAAACAGAAACAACACCTTCACTTTCCCGCAGGTGGCACCTGTGAACCGGGGTGCGGGAGGGCCAGGCTGGGAAGGACTCGGTGACATCACTCTACCGGTGGCAGCCTCGCAGATCTTGACACAGAGCTGAGGCAGCCGCTGGGTTCCCGCTCGTGGTGCCCAGGAGACCTCTCACATAGCCTCAGCCCGCCCCGCGTCCTGCATCTCGGGCTGCTCGCCCTCCCCAGGGAGCCACCTGGGTGTGGAGGAAAGGGGAGCCCGAAGCCACGCACACCTTATCCTCAGCTAAGCTCGGGATTGCGAAGTAGATTAAGGGCATTCACTCACGAGGACGCCTACTTAACCTGGATCCCCGAAGATCCTGGCTGCTCACCAACAAAGTCTCCGACTCCCCCACCCGCGGGGTGCGGGTACCGGTGCGGGTGCGGGGCGGGGCCACCTTTCTCGCCTGCCGACTTTGCGCCTTTTAGTATCAGCACCGCCGCCGGGGGGCGCGCCAGGGCCGGACGACGCAGGGGCTGGCAGGCTCCCGGCTTTTTTTGTGTGTTCCGCTGGCATTTTCTGCTCACCTATGGTGCTTAGCCGGTGCAGGCTTCTGGCATTTCCAGGACGCTACCTCCACGCTGGGCAGTTTAAAGCAATCTTATTGTGCGAATTCCTGTGCTCACCACCCACGCTCCAGCCTGCCTGCTTCCAGGCTGTCCTCTCTGGTTGTCCAGCCTTCCGGTGGCCTCCAAGGAGCTCGCTTGAACGTTCTGAAGCTCCTATAGCTCTTAGGAGACAGTTAAAAGCCCCTCTCTCCGGGGAGAGACCAGTGGAGGTCCCCCCCGCGCGGCGCCCCCCCCCCCCCTTGCTATTTCCCCCTCTCTTCACCCTCCCCAGGCTGGTGTGGGCGCCAGGTTTCTGAGCCCCGAGCAGCTTTCGGGCACGTTCCGGGCAAAAATGAATAGCACGGCCCTCGATCGATCGATCGGAGATTTCCTCCTCTCTCCCGGCGACAGACGGGTAGCCCCCTGCGGGCGGGCGGGGGCCTGGCCGCCGTATTCTTTGTCTCGGCGGTGCCTCCGCAGGGGGCCGGGCGAGCGGCGCTGAAAACACAGCTGGCCGACTGCGGGCTTGGGGGGAGCGCACATCAAAAGCGATCTCGGGGCGGCTAGCGAGGTGGGGGTGGCATGGGGCCGGGCAGTCGCTCGGCAGTCCCCGAGGTCCCCGAGATTCACACACACACACACACACACACACACACACACAGCACCAAGTGCTTCCCACGTGCCAGCCCTTGGCTTCCGGGGCCCCGGCCCTCCTCGCCTCCTGCGCCCCCTTTCTAGAGGCCACCTTCCCATTCGGGGCGGAGGCCTCGGGGTCCACCGCACCGACGCCTCCACCACACCCCCTCGGGCTGGCCTGGGGGTGAATTTAACCCTTTCCCCACGGACTGCAACCCGCCCTGAGGTTCGGGGTGTCTATTAGAGGGTGTTTCCGTTTGCGACACGTGGCGCGGGGGCGCCCTCCCCCTCCCGGGTAGGGACCGTTTCTATGTTCCACAGGCAGCGCTGGGCGGGCAGGAGGAAGGAAATTAAGCCCGTGTTGAAGGAAGGACACCTGGCAGGGGAGGGGAAAAGGCTCAGGAATCCCCTCCTCTGGGGAGCTTTCAAGTGGGGGGAAATCCCCACACAAACTTCCATTCTCCAGGGCGCCATGCGGGGCCACTGGCAGGTTCCCACACCTCCCCGCCAGGCCTCTCCTTCGCTTCCCCAGGCTGTGCGCCGCTGTCCCCGCGAAGGTCCGGGATTCTACCCTCCCACCCACTTGCTTGCTGGCCTCTAGTCCCTTCCCTGCCTCAAGCTCCTGACCTAGGTCTCCCGGTGCTCCCAGGCTGCCTGGAGGAGGCATTGGATACAAGTGGCCCTTTGGAGAATGGCCAGTCTTGCCTACACTGTCCAGGGCTCCTGGCTGGGCATGTCTCAGCCAACCCTCAACCCACCGACAGCCTCAGGGATCTGTTGCCCTCTCTTCCCAGGGCTAGCACCTATGGAATGTTAGGGCCCCAAAATGACCCCAAGAGGTCATCTAGTCCAGCTCCTGCCTCCTGGCCACACTGAATCCACAATCGTGTCTTGGTGGCCGGGGCAGGTAGTCCTGCTCAGTCTCAGAATGACGATTTGGGGCCCTTGGAGCCTCCCAAACTGCCAGGCAGAAGGTGAGATCCAGCAGGCACCTCTGATCTGAAAACCCACAGGGAGTAGCCATTGGGTGGGACAGAGCACCGCGTGGGACCTAGCAGGCCCCCCGGGTGTGTGGAGGGCTCTCTGCCGCTAGAGCTGGGCCCTGGGGCTCGACAGTCAGCGATAGTGGCAAAGCCACTGTGACCCTCTTTCCAGGTGAATCAGACACAAGGCACCCCCGAATTAGCCCAGCACACGGGCATTTCTAAAGGATCCCCATCTCTGCAGCCTGCACCCCAGTCGCTGTTCCTGGGCAGGTTGGGGCTTTTTCGCCGTCTTGCTCATCCTTCTTTTCTCAGCCTCCCTCCTTCCCCCTTCCTCCCCTTCTCTCTCCTGGGGCTCCCCCTGCTAGTCTCCCGCCCTCTTCTCTGTGTATTGGTGTCTCTCAGTTTCTCTCTCTCTCTCTCTCCCTTCTCCACTCTGTCTCTCCCTGTCCCCCCACCCCTTCCCTCCTCTCGTTCATCTCTCCCCCCCCCCCCCCCCCCCCCCCCCCCCCCGCCCAGCACCCGGCTAGGAACGCGGCAGGAGCCGTGACAAGCCCAGGCGGCTCTCCCGACCCTTGGTGCCCCGGGGCCAGTTCCCCGAGCTCCCCGCGCCCCAGCAGCCGTTTAAGGAGAGGGCTCTCGGGATGGGCAGGGGCAGCAGGTTCGAGCTGTGGGCACGGGTGGCCCAGATCAAAGGCCAGGAATGTCTGGCCCCCTGGCCCGGACTTCCTCCAGCCATGCCCCCCACCTGGTGGAGAGATGGCCCGCCATTCCAGGCCTCTGCAGGACTTGGGGGCGGCTTTGCTGCCCCTTCTGCCGCAGTCCCCTGAGCAGTGGCCCTTGCCCCCCACCACTGGTCTTGTTTTCTTCATCCCAGGCCCGGGGTCTGCTCTAGGGTCCAGGTGCCTCTGGGGCTTCGGGTGGTGGGAAAGGGTCTTGGGGAGCAGGCTGCCCAGGCGGCAGGGGGAAAGTCCCCCAGGATCTGGCGTCCATCTCGGCGCTCCACTCAGGGCTGAGACCTGATTCTTTGACTCTGGAGAGGGAGAGGACAGAAAGGACCCAGGGCGCCGTGGTGGGACTTTTTTCCTATGGTGGGGGCTGGGGGGGTTGGGATACATTTGGCTTCCGCACAGGGAAAGGACCCGGTTACCACCGAACCCCAGGTGGGAACTCAGGCAGGGAGCTGGGGGGAGGGGGGCCCCGGCGGGCAGCAGGGTCTTTCCGAAGACCCCAGCTGCTCCCTGCTGGGGCTGCGGCGTTCCCCTGGCCCCAAATGGTTCATCCCTAAGATCCAAATGGGACCGCGGGCACTGCTTCTGACCCGAGCTGGAGGCCAGGCCTGAACCCCTCGTGGAGGAGAAAGTGACCCGGCTCCGCGAGCAGGAAATGCAACTGGCCGCTGGTGTCAGTTGCAGGAAATGCAAAGGCAGCAGGAGGTCCCGATACCGATCTGATCCCTGACAAAAGACTCAAATGACACTCAGCTCCGTCCCCCGGCGCCGCCCGCAGCCAGACCTCCGAGCCTCCGCGGACCCTTCTGCGCGCCTCTCGGACACCCGGGAAGCGACCTCCTGCGGCTGGGGTCGAGTGGCCGGCCGGCTCTCGGGCTCCGGAGGCTGGAGGCTGGGAGGGGTTGTATTTCCCAACCCCCTCTGAGACCCTCGGATCCCGTCCTGGCCGAGCGAGGCTTCTGGAAACATCTCTGTGCTTTCTACTCTCGATTTCTCACACGCCCGAGTCCAGAGGGGTCACGGTCCCCCGAGAGAAAAGGAGCCACCCATCAATGCCCACGCCAACCCTGCACCACGTGAACGCCCCGGCCAAAGCCCCAGCTTCTTAAACCTGGCTGGCGGGGGGCCGCGGCAGTCCCGGGCCAGCAGAGGGTCCAACGTGCCGGCCCCTCCCGCCCCCCGCCAAGTTCCCACTGTGTCCGGGGCGCGGGCTTCGCCCAAGTTTGCTGGGCGATGCCCTTCCCGGAGCCCGACTCGTGGGCCGGGCGGGAGGGGCGCATGATTGACAAGCTGAACTACAGACTCATCTCTTACCTTAGGCCGCGGGCGCTGATTGGCTGCTCGCTGACATCCTCAAACCCGGCTGCTCCGCGCTGGGCTCGGGAGGGGGGCGGCTGCGGGTGGAGGTGCGCTTCTGACAAGCCCGAAAGTCATTTCCAATCTCAAGTGGACTTTGTTCCAACTATTGGGGGCGTCGCTCCCCCTCTTCATGGTCGCGGGCAAACTTCCTCCTCGGCGCCGCTTCTAATGGAGCCCCACCTGCTCGGGCTGCTCCTCGGCCTCCTGCTCTGTGGCACCAGGGTCCTCGCCGGCTACCCAATTTGGTGGTAAGACTCGCCTCTTGTCTGCCCGCGGCCCGATTTCTCCGCCGAGTCCCGGGGAGGTGGGCGGGGGGGGGGGGGGCGCGCCGGCCGGGGGTGGGCTGCGGCTTTTTTCTCCTTGCCTCCCTCCAGCCCCCCACTCGCCCACCCCTCCTGGATTTTCTGCTGGTGTCGCCTTCAGAATCCAACTCCTGGCTTTTCTGATAATCACCATTTTCCCTGCTACTCGCTACAGAGGCTGGAGGACTTTCCCCGGCTCAGAAGGTCTCTGATTTCTTAAATCCTAACCCTTCGCCCGTCCCAATCTGGGGGGCCTGAAGACCCTCCATTTGCTTGCAGTTGGGTTTCTGGAAATCCAGCGCGGTCCCTGGGGCCCAGCCACTCCTCTTCTCCATTTTGGGGTCTTCATGGGCAAAATCATCCTGTTTCTTCATTGCCACCCCCCGCTCCGCCGGCGCCTCCATCAAGAGATTTCCCCACAATAACCCCGTTTTGCCTTCAGATTTCAGACCCCGATGGCTTCAGGGATCCCCGGGGTAGGGGAGCAGGGGGGATTTCATCAGATTCTCCCCACTCTGCTCTAGATTAATCTTGAGCCTCAGAAGTGAATATGGTATTTGCTGATCGAGATGCCATTGAATTCGGATTTTATACATTTCGTGTTTGTCCATCCTGGCAAAAGGGGGGCTCTTTGAAAATGTAGTGGTTTGGGAGGGGGTGGGTTTGTGCTTTGACCAAAACCCCAATTCTCCATGTCAAATTCGTTCCTTTTGGAAAACCGAGGACCGAGGAGAAAGGGAGAGAGGGAAAGGAGAATTCTGTCCCCGAGAAATGCGGATACAAAAGACATTTTTAGTAAATAAGGCTGGGAAACCAGGCGCGGTGTTTAGGGGGGTGTGCGTGGATGGGGGGACTGACCAGGGAATAAACAGCCCTCTGGGAGCCCTAGTTCCCGGGAGTCCCCTTGTTTTCCAAGCAGCCCCACCGCCCCCCGGCAGGTCCCAGAGGCCAGAGGGGAAAGACACACTGAAACCAGCTCTCTAAATTATACCCCGCCTGTCCTCAGTCTCCAGCCCCCTGCATTCCGGAAAACTTTAATTAAAGAATCTTACCCTCCTGGACGTAGGAGAGCCTTGGCCTGGGGGGGTGGGAGGTGAGGAGGAAGAATTTGGGGTCCAGGAGCGAGAAGAGGGCCCGTGGCCCCTGGGGTGAGTGTCAGAGAGGAATGCCACCTGCGTGTCCCCCTTTCCCTGACTGGCCGCCCCCTCCCCAGCCCAAGGTAGGGGGAGCAGAGCCAGCAGGATTCCGGGGCCACACCCTGGGTCTGTCTCCGGTCGGTCGGTCGTTTGGGGACAGTAGCATTTGGGGGCCGGGATGGGGGCAGGAGCAGGGCATGGCCAAGGGTCCGTGTGGAGAGGGTGCTGAGAGTTGCTACCAGGACATATACCCAAGGGAAAGTCTTTCTTCTGCCCAACCCATCCTTCCCGCAGCTTCGGGCTGGCCTGAGGCCTCCTGTGCGTAAAGAAGTCCAAGGGGCGGCTGGGGCAGACAGGGATTCCAGGTTGGGGGCTCTGCCTAAACCAGTCCTGCCTTTTCAGCCCTTTCTGACCCTCTTTCCATTCCTGGGCCAAGGCCATGCTGTTCTTTGCCTTCCTGGGGACTAGTAGGGGGGGAGGGTATGGAAGAGAATGCTTGGAGCCCCACTGGCTGCAGGGGCAAGGAAGGGAGACTAGGTCCCCTACCCCATTAACTGGAGGAGGGCACTTCCCGGGGCAGTGCCTGTGGGGAAGGGTTGTGTGTGGGGGTGTCTCATGTGTAATGGTGTGTTGGGGAACACCTAGATAGGAAGATTTGGAAAAACCTGGAAAGCCAGGACATCTTCCCTGACATAATGCTGGACACACGGCTTGTTTGGGGACTAGTGGGGAGGGACTGGGGGGGACAGGGATGCTGCTTTGTCTCAGCAGAGGAGAGGGGTGTGTGTGTGTGTGTGTGTGTGTGTGTGTGTGTGTGTGTGTGTTCTAGGTCTATGATCCTAAGAGGTGTCAAATGTATACTAGTATCTGTATATGGAAGAGTCTGTGCCTGCAGCTGGGCGACCATGGATGTGAACTCATGTGAGATGGGGGGATCCATGGCTGTGACAGGGTGTGCTGTGCCCCTATAGACCAGTGACAGCAAGTAGCTGATTCTAGGATGTGTGTGTGTATGTGTGTGTGAGACAGAGAAAGTCTAGAAGTGTCTGTGCTCACGTAAAGGTCAGCACCTGTGTCTGCTTGTGACACTATGCATGACTGTGTTCATGACTGGGCATGCGAGTGTTGTGTGTGCGTGTGTGTGTGTGCGTGTGTGCGTGCGTGTGCGCGCATGCCTTCATGACGGTGTAAGGGGAAAGCCCCACAGCTGTCTTTGTGCATGGATATCAGTGCTCATGGCCATGACCTGATTGTGCTTGTAAGTATGAGTGTGAGGCTGTGAGTGGGTCCGCCTGTGACCCTGCCCTCAAGTCACTGGCTGGGCCCACGGTTGTGGATATGTTCGCGGACCTATGACTTACGGGTGTGAGTGACGTCCGAGCTTGGGTGCTTGGTGGGTGTCCATGGTCCTGGAGGGGCGGTCCAGCAGGAGACAAAGGTCTGACGAGGAAACTGCTGGGGACACAGCTGACCGAGGGTCGCGGGCTGGGCGGTGTGGGGCAGGGTACAGGGCCCTCCCTGGCGCGAGCTCATCCTGTCTGCCTGAGGACTGTGGTCAGCAGCCCTCCCCTCTCAGACCATTTGTCTTTGGTCTTGGGACTGGGATGGAGGGTAAGTCGCCGTCTCAGAGCTGGGGCGGGCCTGGGATGGGGACCATAGAGTGGACAGGCTTCAGATTCCTGTTCCCACTCTGCCTCCAGGGCGGTCAGTCGGATTCCAGTTATTTGAGCGTCTGAGCCCAGCATCGCCCGCCCAGCTCACACATTCCCCAGGAGGATTTGCAGGGGGAAGCGTTTAGCGGGGATTCCTGTCCATGCCACCCCTCCAGGAAGGTGCCCCCAGCCCCCCCGCAGCCTGTGCCGCCCAGGCCCCAGCCCTGAGAAAAGGCGGACCAGAAAGTAGAGCTATAAGGGCCTCAGACGGGGGCTCGTGGAAGGAACAGATGTGCTCCGGGGCTTTACAGCCAGGTAGTGGTAGAGCTGGGACAGGAAGCGGTGACAGCAGCCCTGGATTCTAGAATTCTTCTTGTCAGTCCCAGTTAGCGCCTGCTGGAGGAACTTGTCTTTCTTCTCCCTCTTGGGGGAAAAATGAACTCCCTTATTAGGACCCATCCTAGGGCCCTGCTGCATTCCAGAGACAGAGGCCCTGATGGAAGGGGCCCTACCCGGGGGTCAGGTGCACGCCCTGCCTCTTTGTGACCCACCCATATGGGCGCCTGTGTCCTCATCTCTCACTCAGGGCTCACCAGCCTGCCCTGCCTCCTCCCAGCCGGGGTTGGGGGGCGGGGGCGGTGGCAGGGGGAAGCGTTCTGCCGAAGTCAAGGGCAGGGAGCTAGGAAATAAGACACCTGAGTTTTCTCTCCACCGTCCGGGACCTACTTCCCCACTCAAGTGGCTGCCCTAGTCCCTGCCTCAGTTTCCCCTGTCAGGTGTCCCGCTGCCTCCCCACCGCGCTCCCGCCTCCACCCGCCTTTCAGAGGCTTGTGAACATGTTCAGTCAAACCCCGTGGGGGTCAGTGGGCTGGGCCCAAGGAGGCACCTGGAGACTGCGGGGGAGGAAGGCCCCAGGCCAGGTGTTAACACTTGTAACAGGCAGGAATTACAGCTGGCTGGGGCTGGGGCTGGCGAGGAGCTGAGCTGGCTGGAGGCTGTTGATCCCACAGACAGACAGACAGACAGACAGATGGGCAGATCCGATGGCCGGGCTTGAACCGGGTGGTCTCCCTTCCAGGGCAGGCCTTTCCCTGGGGGAATGTGGCCGGGAAATTAATCCGGGTCTTTTGGAAGTGAGTTTACAACCCTCGCGCCCCCCCCCCCCCCACTGTGGGTGGGGTTTGCTGTCCAGCGGGAGCAAAATTGGTTGCCCGATCTGTTTGCGTTCTTATGATGGGACCACGTTTTGTTTTAAACAAAAACAAGAACAGGTCAAATGTTATAATAACACCAGGAGCCTGGAGCTGAGTTAGGATGGGGGGGGGGGGAAGGCTTGCGGTGGGGGGGGGGGTGGGGAAGGGGCAGCAGTCAGGGAAAGTTCTCCCAGAACCTCAGAGCATTTTCGACAGCTCTGGGGCCAAGGGGCAAGCGATGAGTGGAGGCTGGGCCCTGAGCATCAGCCCCACCCCGGAGATCTTGGGGGCCCGAGATCTGAGACAGCTGCCTGGTAGGAAGACCTTTTGGGGGGGGGGGTCGAAAAAGGCAGGAAGTTCTTTAGTGGACACTCTCCCTCCCTGCAGCTTTCCGTGGTGACAAACCCAGCCAGACCCCGCCGGCACCCGCACTCTGGCATCTGGGCACGTGCTCAATAACTGATAAAGGTGGAGAAACTGAGGCAGAGCAAGAGGGCTCTAGGTGGAGGTCCCCAAAGGTAGATTCAGGCAAGCAAGCATCTCTAATCCACCTCACTGCAGAACTTAATGTTAAAAAAAAAAAAACCTGAAGGTACTTGGGCAGGTGAAGGATGGAGACGCTAATATGGATGCTCCAGAAGGGGAAGAGAGCTCTGACCTTGGGGTTTTCTCTAGAGTTTGAATAGGTCTGAGCAGGACACTAGGAGCTTTGAGTCAGGGCAGGAGAGGTGACTTTTCTCAGAGGAGGTTGGAGCTAACAGACTCTTCCAGGGAGAGTGGGGAAAAGGAAGAACTTCCTGGCCTCAGAAGGCAGTGAGCCCAGGGAGGGAGGGGGAGCTGGTGTTCCAGCCTTTTCCACCCACCCTTCTGTAAAAGCCACAGAATCCTTCTAAAGCCACCAAGGAGGGAGAGACATTCTCTACCTCTGTCCCTAACTGGGAGAGGAGGTATGCCTAACCCCTCCC